ATTAGTAGAAAAATTATTGCCAATTGCCTTGTAGGTTCCTTGTTTTGGGTAGCTGTGCATATCAAGCTAACTATATTCTCCTTGCACATACACAATGTACCATGACACACTCTATCCCCTCATCAATTCCAGACCAAACACATACATGTGATTATTCAAAAAGCATTGGCCCCTCTCCAACTCTACCTCTATTGAAATTCACCCTTTGAGAGCTTTGCAGTAGAAACATTCAACAGCAGGTGCAGCAATCCCTTCCAAATCATCCTTTTTTTTTCCGTATTTATATAATTCTTCCACTGATTTGTAAATGTCTAAATGATATTCCATGAAAAGATTCCATTGAATCCATGATACCAAATGGCTTTATCTTGTCTGCCTGCATAAAAAATTATTTTTCAGCAGACTATTAGAAATCTCCCATTTATTCACTTGTCATAAATATTTCTTCTGTACTCTATCTTCCATACCCAATCATTGCTCATCCAAAGGCCATAGAAAAAACCAGCAGAGACTGCAACAATTGACTGCTGCCATATTTTTTATGGAAAGAACTATGTTATGTATGAGTCCCTTCTGAAATGATGGTTCCCTTTTTTTTTTTTCAATACCTCTATTTTACTTGCAATGTATCTGTTTGGCATATTACTTAAAAGCATTTTTAATGAGAATATATTTTTCTTAACCCATTCATCTCAATTATTTTTTTTTATTTTTATTTTTTTGGCCAACATTCATTTCATTCTGTTTGGTTGGGGTTAATATTGCTTTTTTATCTTCTTCAATATGAGAAAAGAGTGGGAGAAAGCCATTTATTCAGTTGGGGGTTCTGAAGTGAAGAAGTGGCCCCTTCAACTACGGCGACCTACACCAGATGGGATGCCTATGAGCAGTAGTGGCACTTCACTGCAACAGCCGGAAATGAGTTTGATTCAAGATAGAGTTCTGCCAAACTCACCCAGTCCATTGTACAGTCCTCACTCCAAGGCTTCTGGCTTTATCAAAGGTGGTTTAGGACAGTCTGCTGCTAGAAAGCAGGTTATTAGTGGCCATACTTCAGTTGACAATTCCCGGGGGTTGCTTCAGTGGGTGCAGAGCATAACGTTTGTTTCAATTTTAATTGACCATTCTTTACATCTGGTTTGTCAAGCAGATTCATTATCTCCTGGTGAGCTATAAGATTTTTGTTGCTTTTTTTTTGGGGCCTTGCAGTTTTCTTTTTCTTGATTTCCCCATTTGCCTAATAAAATGAGTTTGCTGTAAATATTTCTGTTTCTCATACGGCAAACTCATCGAAGACTTGGAGCTTTATCTTTGTTGTTTACTATCTTGGAAGTCAGCATGACTGCTCTGGAAACCACTTCGATTTCATTTTGTTGTATCCTGGTGCTCTGCGCTATTTCCACATTTCAATGCATGATTTTGCCAAGTATTGCAAGTGCTGTTTTCATTTAAATTAAAATAGATTTGGACTCATGTAGATGCATGCATGCACTGGCAATTAGTATGTTTAATCATATTCAGTCTATTTTTTATTCTTATTAGTTCCATTACTGTATGATAATAAAGTAAAATCCTCTGTCAGCCTGGCAATGATGGTTTTTCTTTTAAATGGTGACAAGCCTACATCCAGTGGTTTTAGAACTCTTTTAATAGTCTGTTTCAGTTACTTTTTGTGCATCATTTTTATTCCTGGTGCCTGAAAACTGTAACAAATTCCACTTTTTGTATTTTGCCAATGAACAATAAGAAAAGAAAAAACATTACAATCGTTTGCTGCTTTTTGCTTCTTTTTTATTGTTTTACTTCAACTGATATCTTTTCATCATGCAGGAGGAACTCAGGGTGGTAGTGGGATGGGTCAACCTGGTTATTTGGAAGGGTTCACTCCTGTAAGGTCTCTTGGTTCTGCATCCACGGCATACATGTTAATTCCATCACCTAGTATGCATTTCTTACCTCCAATGCCCCTTCAGCTTCCAACATGTCTCACTGCCGAGTCACCACCTCTTGCACATCTTTTACATAGCAAGGGTTCTGCAATTCCCCTTTCCACCGGTTTTGTGGTTTCAAGGGCTATACCTTCCATGCGGAAAGATTGCAGGAATAATATGAAAGAAGAATGGCCTTCTGTTCTTTCAGTCAGTCTTGTAGATTATTATGGAGGTAATAACTTTAACCAGGAAAGAGTAATCAGGGGAACCACAAAGCAGGTAGGAAGAACATTGAGCTCTGATACAAGAGATTTTGAAATTGAGACCCATTTGGTTCTGGAGTCCGTTGCAGCAGAGCTTCATGCCCTGTCATGGATGACAGTCAGCCCTGGATACTTGGATCGACGAACTGCACTGCCTTTTCACTGTGACATGGTTTTGAGACTAAGAAGGTTGCTTCACTTTGCAGAAAAAGAACGCTCCCGGCCAGCAGATAAGTCCCAGTTGTAAAAGCAACGAAACCACGCTCCACAGATCATGGTAAATCAAGAGTCTCTTCTTGTGCTCCACTGTAAAATAAGTAGTAACAGTATGTATATGCTATTTCATCTCACAGATAAACAAGCTTGTGAACCCCCCAGCAAGTAAAAAAAAAAAAATTTCTGGGAAGAGATAGTTGGCTCTAACATACATATGCATGCTAGTCAATGTAAATGAACTTAGGACAGATCGTATGTACTCTAGGTCAATATGGTTAGCCAATACCATAGGTGTGGAGCTTTTCATTAAACCCCAGGTAGGAGAGATCTTTGTATTCTAAAGTTCAATTTTGTCTCTCATTCTTTGTATGAATATTTTCCAAGGATGCCATTTATCAGGTGAAAGTTTGTTGGGTTAATTATATAATTCTTTGCTTCCACACACCCCATGTACAGAGCATATGATGTGATATCATATGTGCCACATGAAACAAGAGGCAAATTAGAAGATGGGAGTATCTTGTTTGTCTGATTGATGTGGTAGTTGGAATCTGATAGAAAAGATTAGAGTTTAATTTGACGTTCAATAATTGATTTCAATAAGCTGAAGAATTAAAGAACCAACAGGGGTTATGTATTGACTTCCCGGGCTTAGCTGTCCATGTGTGTCTATTTCCCTGTTCCAGCCAATGTGTGCTGCCCAACTATGTTATATTCCCTTTCTGGCTAGTGCCAGTGCCTCTTTGTTATCATTCTCTTTCAATTCTAATAATTATGTCCTATTGTAGGACCACTAAAATATTGCACCAAACCTTATTCTTCTTTATTTAAATTTCAAATTTTGGTAATTTAAACTACGACCTTTGAGTTTGGACTTATTCTTTATTATTTATCTATTAGATTAGAACTTCATTGGCAAAATTAAATAAACTTGGTTGTGAAAACTTTTCATCTTTGAGACTCTTAAATTTGAAAGATTTCAACTAGGAGGCTGTTTGATAGAGCTTCTTAGAGTTTTTACTTTTTTTATATTGTTTGCAAGTGATAAGTTTAAATTTTTATTGGAGAGAAAATTTAAAAGTTGTTTTTAGAAATAAAAAAAAAAAAGTTGAGTAAGAAGTGAAAAAAAAAAGTTTATAAAACGTAAAAATTTGAAACTTTTCAAATTTATTGTTTATGATCTTTTTAAGGTTAAAAAAATTAAAAAATATAAGGTTTTAAAAAAAATTAACTTATAAAATATAAATAGTATAAAAAAACTAAATCACGTACAAACTTCACTAAATATGCTCTTGATGTCTTTCGAAGTCTTATTTACTCCATCACTAGCCCAAAAGGTTTTCATACGCAAAATGGCATAACAGCAAGAAATTGAAAGGAGAGTAAGAACCTATTTAGTGGAGTATCTTTGAGTTTTTACTTTTTTTTGAAGTACTATTCATGAGTCATAAGTTAAAATTTTTATTATAGGAAAAATTTAAAAGTTATTTTTAGAAATAATAAAAAGAGCATGTTTGGGTTAACTGGTAAGAACTTTTACTTTTTTACTGTTTATGAGTGATAAGTTTAAATTTTTATTAGAGAAAAAATTTAAAAATTACATTTAAAGATAAAAAAAATGAGTAAAAAGAAAATTTATGAAAAATA